GAACCATCAATAAAACCAACTATCTTTACCGATTGTATGTTTTAAAAAAATTAATCTGAAAAAAAGAATCAAACTGAAAAGCAATCTAAAACAGCAACTGGTAATTTTTATCCTATAGATGACGGAGTGATGAAGATGCATCTTCTAAAGAAAGGTAGTGATGGAACCAGTCATTGAGAAGGTCCTTGTAGAGCCACCACAATGTCAACCAGATCAAAAATGGAACCATGGGCAGGGCCTTCATTCCTGATTTGAGTGCAAGGACTGAATTGCACCAGGTGATTTAAGTATATTGTCCATTTCCAACATTGTCATAGAACAATTATTACACAGGAGCAATTTATTGTTAATAGTGAAGCAATTTGTATTTAGAAAAAAATGGCTTTTATCAAATGAATTAACCCAAATGCTAATTTCTAATTTCATTTTAGCAAAATCCACATCCTCTGTGGCTTTTGGTTCACAAAGTTTTTTTTGTTACATAAGATTATACAAGCACTGGATTTTTGTTTTAGACTAACACATAAAGATATGAGAATCTTTACAAATCTTCGCCAATTCCAAAAATGAGTGTTTTACCAGGCATTTCTAGCATGTCACACATTAGTTTTGTATTTTTTTTTTGTATACCTACAAAAAGGCATCACCGAAGATAGCAGGTTGAGGAGCTCCAAACCCTATTTCCCAACAGATTTCAGAGAAAGCAAAGAAACTTTCCAGGGGCTATTTTAGTACAATCCATTGCCAACTCAGGTCCATGAAGATTGCACCACACAAGAACATCTGACAGAGCAACCTTGTCCAAATCTGTACCCTCATGCTGGGTTATACTACAATACCCAGTCACAACTCCATGTGTAGCTCACAGGATTTGTAGTTCAACACATCGGGATACAACCAGGTTATGGAAAAGCATTTTTTCCGGAAATGGCCTCTTACCCCAATATAGTACCGAACACAAAATCTAACAGATACTTAGCTTATTTTCCTATCTAGAACATAATACACAATATGCCTGCCTTTTTCTTAATTGTAATGCATCAGCGTGCTGAAATCAAGAGGGCCCTCTCGCACTGCACACATCAGGGAAAGGTGAATCTTTCAAGAGGAAACAATTGAGGAGGGAGGGAGGACGAAGGCAATGCCGATCGCCGTAGCATCGCGGCTGCTCTGCTGCTAGAGGGAGAGAATCCAACAGTTTGGCACAGAAAGCCAGCCAAGGGTGAAAATGAAGCCCCTGTGCGGGCAGGGGGCGGGGAACGAGCCCCTGACCAACAAAGCGGAAAAAGGTTTTGCAAGCACAAAGCCCAACTCCGGTAACAAAAGCCCCCAGGCTGCTCCTTAGCCAGGCGCTCCACCGGCGCCGCTTCCCTCGGCCGCGCTGGTGGCAATAGCGGCGCCGCCCCCTTTCCGGGCAAGAACCAAAGGTGGCTCGGATCGGTTTTGTTTCTTGCAGCCAGCCGCTGCAGCCCCTCCCGGATCCCTACACAATACTCTCCGTTCTCGGAGACCCTGCCCGAAGGGGGCAGCTGCGCTTCACCGCCACCGCACACAAAAGCGTGTCCGCGGCCCCTGCCCCACTTGTGTCCTGTCCTCACCGACCTTGAGCCGCATCGGGCGCCGCCAAGGTTTTGGTCACCGCCTTCCACACGTTACAGCCCAGTAGGCAGAGGAGAAGTGCCGCCGCCGCCGCCCTACTCATTTTTCCCCTGCCGTGGCAACCGCTGCCGCTGCCGCCGGGAAAGGAAGAGGAGGCGGGGAGGGAGGGGACCGTCGGAGCCGCTGCCCAAGAGGAGGTAGGAGGAGGTGTGAAGAGAACGCATCAGAAGCTGGCTTCCTCCGCGTGGCCCACCGTGATGCCCCTTGCCCACGCCGGCGGCTGCCGCTGCCGCTGGAGAGGCCGCATTGTCACCTTCGCGCTGAGCGCCGGCACCGCTGCGCGGGCCTCGGTTGCAGCGCGACGGCTGAGGGGGCTGCGAGGGGAAACGAACAGCGGGTGGCTCTCCCTAAAGAGGCAGCGAGGCTCCTCCACCATCCTCAGTTTGCTTAACCCCTTCCTTTCTCTCTCCCTTCCACGGCTGTGTCCTCAGCTCAGAGACGAGCCAGCCAGAACTTCGGAGCTCCCCCTGCTGACTAGCTTGGGGGTCGTTTTCACCATCGCGCCCCAGAAGCCATTGGGTTAGTACTGCAGGAGTTAAGACCCTGGTCTATTTAAGAACTGGTCTGCACATCTTACCTGTAACACTATGCAAGCAGAAACACTTAAAGGTGTGTCTTCGAGTTAGTCTTACTGTAGTCCTTGCGATTTGGGGGGGCGGGGGGGGGAGGGATTTCAGAAACAGTTGGCTATTTCTTGCTTCCTAGAAGTGAGACAGAGTGATTGGCCCAAGGTCAACCGGAGCCAAAAGTGGGACAAGATCTGGTTTCCACCCAGTGTTTTAACCGCTTACAAACACAAACTGTCTATTCCAGGCGTGGGTTCCAGGCACCTAGATTAGCAGAAACAAATTTCTGGGGAAAATTCATTGAACCTGCCTATCTTTATCAACAGTTAATGTTGCAATATTATCCTGGGATAGGTATATTTGTCTCCATTTATATTTCTATCATGTAAAATGCCAACCTTTTTCCAGACAGTTGTCAGCATTTATATTCTGAAGATATGCAAGCAATGGTTTTTATGTTATATGTGTCTATTTTTAACTTATTGTTAATATTATCAATCTTTCAATCAATTATCACAAATAGCAAGAGTTACAATATTAGTAGAAAGCAAAGTGTAAATATTTTCAGAAAAGATAAATGTATATTCCAAAAATTGCTATCGCCGTACATGATATTTTTGGCTATGAATGAGAGATTAGATTCATATTTAACAAAGTTATTAAAGTCAATATTTCCTGCACCAGTACATACATCCCTCTATTTTGTGATAGTTTCCTGAATAAAAATAATAATAAAGATGGACGAGGACATGTATTGGATGAGTGTGATATTTTTGGCGACTATATATGTAACCTCCCCACACAGAGACATTTGGATGTAAACATTCTAAATTCACATGTAAATGGCAAGAAATAAATTCAAAAAAATGAAAAGCTGGGGAAAATAACTTGAAAAAATTATTAGGTTCTATCTAAAATAGAATAGGGGATGCGGTGGCTCAATGGCTAAGATACTGAACTTTCAATCGAAAGGTCAGCAGTTCAGCGGTTTGAATCCCTAGTGCCACATAACAGGGTGAGCTCCTGTTACTTGTCGCAGCTTTTACCAACCTAGCAGTTCGAAAGCATGTAAAAAATGCAAGTAGAAAAATAGGGACCACCTTTGGTGGGAAGGTAACAGCATTCCGTGCGCCTTTGGCGTTTAATCATGCCAGCCACATGACCACGGAGACATCTTCGGACAGCGCTGGCTCTTCGGCTTTGAAACAGATGAGCACCATCCCCTAGAGTCAGGAACGACTAGCACATATGTTGAGGCAAACCTTTATCTAAAACTACTCCCAGTATAGATTATATTTTAAACGTTCCCCTTTTTCTCCCTCTTTTTCTCTCTATCTTCTTCTCCCTCCCTGCACTTGACTCCAGAACAACTTTGAACAGCTGTTCAAAGAACAGCTTAAACTAGAAAAACAAAAGCACCTTAAACTGCGAATCAGCTAAGGATATCAGCAGCACCCTATCTCTAACAAGACCTGGGAGAACAAGGCCTAGTTTTCAGAGACTTCCAGGATAGCACCATGTGTTCCAATTTGTGAATTGCCCATAGTCAGTTTGGAAGTTGAGCAGTGTCCCCATGGAATAAGTATCAATGAATATATATGCGGACTCCATGGATCTCTGGGGCAAAATCATTCCATAAGGCTAGCATTGCAAGTTCCTGAGCACTAATCTCCTTCTGGGTTCCTATCATCCTTAACAAGCCAGTTGTATGGGCAAGAGTTTCTTGCAACTACTGTTAATTATCTCTCCTTTAGCATTTTTTAAAATTGTTCAGATTATTTTTGGAAAGGAGCTCACAATCTTTGTATGGATATATCCTGCATCTGCTCCTATGCTGCAACAACCATAGTAATGAATTACTGACTATAAATAGTTCTATTTTTTGTTTCCATAAATGCATACTATTTCTGTCATCTTTCCCCCCTTTTCTTTTCTTTGCCCCATGGAGGCAAAATGGCAAGAAATCCCCGCCCCCCCAAAAAAACTTTATTTCTTAGGAAAAGGTCACATAAATAATATTTCAGTGCCTGGAAGTTGAGTCATGGCAACTGGAATTATTTTCTTGTTGGTTTAACATGTTTCACTGCTCATCCAAGTAGCTTCTTCAGTCTGAGCTAGTTGGTTAGGGAAATCTGAGTAGGCAGAGAGCCGTTGGAATGTACCAACTTCTAAAAATTGAAGGGTAGGTTATTCCTGTAATCTGCTATTTTTCTTGCTGTCTTTTCATATTCCCACCCATCCTCAGGGTTTCTTCCCTAAAGTGCATGGCAATATTTTGATGAGGATTCTTATTCATCTAGGTAGAATTGTCTGAAAACTGAGTCATGGCAACATGACTTATTTTCTTTTGGGTTTGAGATGTTTCACTGCTCATCCAAGCAGCTTCTTCAGAATCTTGGTTGATATATTGTAATGCATTTTGTGGAAGAAACCCTGAAATTGGTGTGGGAATATGAAAACAAGAAAAGTAGCAGACTACAGAATCACCTACCCTTCAATTTTTAGAAGTTGGTACATTCCAACGGCTCTCTGCCTACTCAGATTCAGGGGTGGGTTCTAAAATTTTTTACTACCAGTTCTGTGGGCGTGGCTTGATGGTCATGTGACAATTCTTTAGATTTAACAGAGGTACTGGTCTACCAGGCTTTTAACTGCTTGCAGAGCTGTACCAGTCTATCCATTTGTTTTTGGAGCGCACTGGTCTACTATCACACTGCCTTTTACAGCTGTAGGGCGGCCCGGTGAAGCGTTGTGGCAAGAGCGGTGTTGAAGCGCCGCGGCAAGAGTTTAAACAGTTTTTTTTCCTTCTAGCCGATCATCTGGGACTCGGGAGGCAGCGAATAGATTGGGGGCGGGGCCAGGCAGAGGTGATATTTACCAGTTCTCCGAACTACTCAAAATTTCCACTACCGATTCGCGAGAACCGGTAGCAACCCACCACTGCTCAGATTCTCCTAACCAACTTGCTCAGATAGAAGAAGCTGCTTGGATGAATGGTGGACTGTCTCAAACCAACAAGAAAATAAGTCCAGTTGCCATGACTCAACTTTCAGACAATTCTACTTGGATGACTGAGAATCTTCACTGAAATATTTCACTGCATTTTCTTTTTTAAAAGTTTAATAGAAAAGTAGGTGCCCGGAAGAATTGCCTAGGAATGTTAGAATTGCAATAATATGGTAGGAACAGCACTGATTAGAAAGGTAGCATCAAGAACATAAAATACTCTGCTAACCACTAGGGCAGGCAGATTTGCTTAAACTGGTATTGGAGCTGCAACCCCCAGAAATTTCAGAATATGGTTTAGGGAAGACTGAGCGAAATTATGTTCGTTTATAAGTTTCTTGGTTATTAAGACATCAACTGGTTTCATTTGTAAATTCATTCTGGCATGATTTTCCATATCATTCTTACGGTCTGGAATTATTAAATCTTCAGATCCACTATATCTTTTTCGATATCACTTTTATAACCCAGCACTTTTTAAAACTCCAAATATACTTTCAAAATAGAGTCTTGGCCTCTGTTTTGTTCAATAATATCTGTTATTCTTCTATATCTTCCGCAATCAATCAATCTTATAAGTATTGTTTGAATAGATTGTTCCCAAACAGCCTTATTCTATTCTATAGTCAAATAGTGTTATTCCATTGTTTTAATAGGTCTGTTCTCCTTTAAGAATAAACTTTTATTATTTCCTTCAAGTCCTCTTTTATTATCTGTTTATTTTCTAATCAACAAGACTTTCTCATAGGAGGATTTCTTACAATTAGTTTCAAAGATTTCATATACTGTTTTATAAAAATTTAAGCACCTCACAGGAAATATTTGTTCAAGAGCATCTAGACCCTTAACTGTTCCGAAACAATAGTTTAGTCCCCTTTTGTTATTTTCTAAAAATTAAAGCTTTTGTTAATTCTTAAAATTACTAAGGGTTCCTTGTCCAGAATGGGAAAAAAATCTGATATAGTTGGTTTTTTGGAAAATTCTTAACTCCAAAGAAAGCAGCAAAAGCAACATCCTAAAATAATTAAGATAAGCATAGGCATGATATCTGTACTTTGTAGTCTTAGTCTCTCTGCTGAATATTTAGGCCAATTAACCCTAGGGAAGGCCAAATCAATAGTAAAAGAGAGAATCGGGGACTGTGGGGTTCTTAGTGCTCTGAGCCTGGTGGCTTTCTTGCAGACTTTTCATGACCAAACTAGATAACATCATCCGTGCTAGAAGGGAGTAGGGTTTTGTCTTATTTTTATATACTGTTATAGTACTCAGTATCAAGGATCTCACAGTTCAACCCAGAGTTACAAATATTATTTTCTATCAGAATTAGGGACAATGATAATCAAAATGATAGCATGGTTTAGGGGTGGGGAATTGTAGTGGGTGGGAATGTGTTTACGGATTGTTATGTGTGTTGGACCTGGTCTTTGGATGTTAAGTGAATTTCGTTGCATGGGTATACTGTGTATACACGTACAATGACAATAAAGTAGTAGTAGTAGTAGTAGTAGTAGTAGTAGTTGTTATTATTATTATTATTATTATTATTATTATTATTATTATTGGTTAATCTTTAGTGAGATTCACAGCCTTTGAGGCTGGTTAATAGCTCAGCAGCTCGAGTCCTAACCAAGGACCTAGGAACTGTTAAGGTATCGTCGGAGGATGTAAGCTGTTCCGAGTAAGGTGGTTTTTTGTAGAGTCAAAATGTTTAAGTCCGGCAAATTTAGAATTTCTAAATAGCGGGGTAGCCCTTTGGGTATTGCTCCGAGGGCTCCAATTACAATCGGGACAACACACGATTTCTTTTTCCACAGTCGCTCAACTTCAATTTGTAAGTGATTTTTTCTTGCTGCTTATCTTCAATTCGTGCATCACCAGGTATTGCAATGTCAATGAACCATACTTTTTTCTTTTCAACTATTGTTATGTCAGGTGTGTTGTGGACCAAGTGCCTGTCAGTCTGAATCCTAAAGTCCCACAAGATCTTGAGTTTCTCATTCTCTAAAACTTTCTCAACCTGATGTTCCCAGTGGTTTTTGCTGTACTCAAATCCAAACTTCTGGCACAATTTCCAGTGAATGATTTTAGCAACACGGTCATGGCGTTGTAGGTAGTCAGTTTGTGAAATTTTGCTGCACCCACTGATCAGGTGGTCAACTGTCTCTTCTTTTTCATTGCAGAGGCGGCATTTGCTGTTGATGGTAACATGTTGAATTTTTGCCTTCATACAGTTTGTGGCTAGGGCTTGTTCTTGAGCTGCCAAAATAAAGCTTTCTGTTTCTTTTTTCAGTACTCCTGATCTTAACCAGTTCCAAGTTAGTTTCTGGTCAGCTTTGCCTTCAATACTTTTCAAGTATTGGCCATGCAAAGCTTTGTGTTTCCAATTTTCAGCTCGCTGCTCAATTACTTCTTTCTTATATTCTGCTTTTGTTTTAGTTGTCTTTAAAAGGCCTCCTTTATTTACTTCCTTAATCATTGGTTCTTCACTTTTCTGGATGTAACCATTCAAGCTGCATTTTTCTTCTTCCACAGTCTGCTTTACTTGTAGGAGTCCTCGACCACCCTTTGCTCTTGGTAAATATAATCGGTCAACATCACTTTTAGGGTGCAAGGCATGATTCATTGTCATAAGCTTCCTTGTTTTTCTGTCCAAATTGTCTAACTCCATCTGGGTCCAGTCAATTATTCCTGCAGAGTATCTAATCACAGGTATAGCCCAGGTATTTATGGCTTTTATGATGTTTCCTCCACTCAATTTGGACATTAATATCTTACGAATTCGTCGAATGTACTTGGCTGAAGTTAATTCCTTGACTTTATTATGCATTAAGTCAGAGGCTTCTAAAATCCCCAAGTACTTGTAGCCTTCTTCTGATTTTACTGCCTTTATCATTTCTTCATTCTCTAGTTCTATTCCATCCTCTTCTATGATCTTGCCTGCTTTGGTTGCTATTGTTGCACATTTGTCAATTCCAAACTGCATACCAATGTCTTGGCTGAATTCTTTTGTGTTTTCAATTAATAAATTCAGTTCAGCTTTTGTTTTACCAAACAGCTTCAAATCATCCATGTACATCAAGTGCGAGATTTTCAGTCCTTTCTTTGCAAGTTCGTATCCACAGTTCATCTTCTTCAAAATGATTGTCAGTGGTAGCATTGAGAGTATAAAAAGTAGGGGTGAAAGGGAATCGCCCTGGAAAATGCCTCGTTTAATTTCAACTTCACCCAGTTCTTCTTCATTAGCCATAAGTTTTGTTTTCCAGAGGTTCATTGAAGATTCCATGAATTTTTGTATGTTGCTGCTGATGCCTAAGATTTCCAGGCATTTCTTGATCCAGCTATGGGGAACTGAATCAAATGCTTTCTTATAGTCTATCCAAGCCATGAACAGGTTGGTTCGTCTTTTCTTTGAGTTCTTTAGGATTAGCTTGTCAATCAGCAATTGATCTTTTGTTCCTCCTGAGTTTTTGCAGCATCCTTTCTGTTCTACAGGAAGCAAGTTATTTCTTTCCAGGTATCCATAGATTTGGTTTGCAATGATACCAGTAAGAAGCTTGTATGTTGTTGGCAAGCAGGTGATTGGCCTATAATTTCCAGGGTCCTTTCCTTTTTCTTTATCTTTTTGGATCAAAAATGTCCTTCCAGTTGTCATCCATCCATCATTTTCAGGTGTTTTTAGGATCTGGTTCATTTGGGTTGCCAATCTTTTGTGCAGACTTGTAAGTGCCTTTAACCAGAAGCCATGCAGCTCCTCCGGTCCAGGTGCACTCCAGTTCTTCACTTTTCTTGACTGTCTTTGCACCATTGCTTTTGTTATTTTCACGTCTTCCATTTTATGCATTTTAATAGAGTCCTCAACCTGTTTGATCCATTTTGCATTTCTGTTGTGCTTCTTGTTATTTTCCCACAAATTCTTCCAGAATTTCAGAGCTTTCTCTTTATCAGGCTTTTCATTTGTTGTTACTCCATTTCCATTTTCTAAATTCTTATAAAACTGGTGCTGATTTGCTCTGAACTGTGAGTTTTCCTTGAACTGAGTTACTCGGTTTTCATACCTTTTAATCTTTTCAGCGATGGCAACAACCCTCTGCTTCAGCTCTTCAATTACTATTGCAATCTCCTTATTCCTTAGATCGTATCTTGCTTCCAGGTTGCTTTTGACCTGCTTGTTCTTTAGCTGACCTTGCCTTAGGTTCTTCAAGTTGCTCAAATCTCCACGTACTTTTTTGATCTTCAATTCTAACCGAATTTTCCACTTAGGCTTCCCCTTCTTGCCTCTTTGGTTCTTTTGTATTTTCAACCCCAGTTCTTTGGTGGTTATGACAGCTGCTGCATACATCAGTTGGTTTGTTTCGGCTAATGTAGTGGTTCGAATAGTTTGCACAGCCTCATTGACCTTTTTTAGTACATTTCTCAATTCTTTCCAGTTCACTTGGTTCAGCTTTGGCAAACGTGTTCTTTCATCATCTTCCATTTGGTGCTTTATTTTTCCAGCTAATTGAGCACTATCTGTTGGTGTTTGTTCTTTAGTGCTTCCTTGTTCTTTATCTTCATCCATTTCAGTATCCTCTTCTTCCCTTTCTTCCTCAATTTGCTTTTGAGTCTGGAAATCATTCTTGATGTTACTCCTCTTTGTTATTGTACTCAGACCATTAATTGCTTTCTCTTCTATTGCTATTAATTCTTCTGTAGTGAAAAATTTGTGGTTTAGGATTACACGTCGTTGGTCCATTAACCTTTGTTCACTGGTGTCACAGTCCGTATGGTTCATCTTCCAAATCTGATACATTATTATTATTATTATTATTATTATTATTATTATTAGTGCCCCTATTGCCAAATGTTAGACATTTGCAAGCCTATACAGATAGCCTATACCACAATTGAGTCCCAAATTTCTGTTGCTAAGTGAGACATTTGTTCAATGAATTATGCCCCATTTTACCGCCATTCTTGTCACAGTTGTTAAGTGAATCACTGAAGTTGCTAAATTAATAACATGGTTGTTAAATGAATCTGGCTTCCTCATTGACTTTGCTCGTCAGAAGATTGCAAAAGGTGATCCAATGACCCTGGGACACTGCAACTATCATAAGTATGAGCCAGTTGCCAACTGTCTGAATTTTGATCACAAGACAATAGGGATGCCGCAACAGTCGTAAGTGTGAAAAGTGGTCATAAGACACACTTTTCAGTGCCATTGCAACTTTGAACAGTCATTAAACAAAGTGTTGTAAGTTGACTACTTGTACCGTACTCTAGGGTATCACTGCAATCTAATTCTAAGGAAACAAAGATGTGCCTTTTGATGCCCTCCCATCAGCTCTGCTGGTTGGAAGATTTCATGGGGCTCCTTATTTGCAGAGAATTTGCCCTTTTGAATCCAAAGAAGTAGAAACTCTTGCTCATGTTCTCATACGATTTCCTAATATGTGCAAATATGTGCTATAATTGCTCCGGTCAAGTTGTGATGTTAGGTTATTTTTCTTTTGTATTATACCTTTTGTATCACAAAGGCTGGTCAAGGATTAGATTTGAATTAAGAGAAAAAGTAGGTGAACTCAGTGTCGCTTTAAAAGGCACCAGAAGTGGCTTAAAGGTAAAGGTAAAGGTTCCTCTTGCACATATGTGCTAGTCATTCCCAACTCTAGGGGGCTCATCTCCGTTTCAAAGCCGAAGAGCCAGCATTGTCCAAAGACGTTTCCGTGGTCATGTGGCCAACATGACTAAACGCCAAAGGCGCATGGAACACTGTTACCTTCCTACCACAGGTGGTCCCTACTTTTCTACTTGCATTTTTTACGTGTTTTCAAACTGCTAGATTGGCAGAAGCTGGGACAAGTAATGGAAGCTCACCCTATTATGAGGCACTTGGGATTCGAACCGCTGAACTGCTGACCTTTCAATTGACAACCACGTCCCTTTGAAGTGTCCCTAAGAAGTGGCTTAGCAAGATTAATATTTGACCAGCTTCCAGATCTCTCAAACCCACTTGTTTTGCAATCCCTTTGCAGAGAGAATGTATTTGGAGCCAAACATAAGTGATCCTTGTCCTATTTCTGCTGTTTGTTCCTTTGCAAAGAGCGATTGTGCTCAGTCTACCATGCTGCTCTGAAAGCCTGTCAATTCTGTTGGTTGCTGCAACCACAATCTCTTCTCTCTGCATCAGTCCTTTCTGCCTAGTACTGAGTTTATACTGTACACATGAATCATAATCAGCTAAATTTCTGCTTGGCTTTCCCCTGCAACAGGTAGCCATCTTGTTAAGCTGCCAGACAGAATGGAGTTTCATGGAGAAAAGGAGGTAAATGATTGGCTTAAACAAGAAGCTTGTGATACTGCAAGGGATACATGTGTTTTAATGATGTAACCCTGCTTTATCAGCAGAGTTTTCATTTTGCAAATTATGCAAAGACTTAAAATTACTGTTGGTGTTTCTCTTCTCTCTGCACTACTCAGGCCCTTCCATCTGGATAAGAATTTCTGTGATTGACTGCAAACAACTGTACTTTGATAGATCAGTTAGCTACATGTTTGGCTGGTGACTAGAACCTGCCTCCTTGAATTCTGAACTGGGCAGGACTGAGCAGACTTGGAGAGAGAGGTAGTCTTGAGGGGAGGAAATTGAAATGAAAGGACAGGGGAGAGACCTATACGTCCCACCAACACAGAGGGGAAAAGGGAAGAGACAACAGGACAGGAAAAAGGCAAGAAAGAAAGGATTGAAGGGATTCACAAGTTGTTCTGAGTGGAAGAGCTGCTGTGGGATTCTGGGCTGTGGACTGCATTCCTGCTGCCATAAGAGAGGTAGCAATCCTAGTTGAGGGCAGAGCTCAGGAATGACTATGTTCCTGATCCAGCTGCAATTTCTGGATTCACCATCTCTGTCTAGAAAGGACTATTACCTTAATTAAAGCCTCACTAAATGCACAAGGTGTGTCATTGTGTTTGGACCAGGTGGCCTGATCATCTGAGAAAAGGGACAGAAAGACCCTATCTTTAATGGCTTCTTTAGGGGTGAGTGCTACAATGGAATGACCTAGTTTATACAATGTGCTTCATTTTAGCCTAATAAAGCCATAAAACCTACAACAACCTCAGATACAGTAGTCCTTGACTTACGACCACAATTGAGACTGGAACTTCCATCACTAAACGTTGCAATTGTTAAGTGAGTCACACTCTATTTTACTATATTATTTGCCACAGTTAAGTGAATCATTGGGATCATTAAGTGAATTTGGTTCCTCTATTGACTTTGCTTTTCAAAAGTCCTCTAGGAAGGTCACAAATAGTAATCATAAGACACTGCAACCATCGTAAATATATATGTCTGCCAAGTACTCAAATTTTGATCATACGACTGTAGGTATGCTGCAATAGCTATAAGTGAGGACTGGCCATAAGTCATTTTTTTCAGCACCATCATAACTTCAATTTGCCACCTTTAAAACTGTATATGACTTGGGACCTTTTACCTGTGGGATCACCTTTTTCCAAGAGTTTCTACCTATCCAATTTGATCCAACAGTTAGGACATGTTGCAGATCTCGCCAGCCAAACAGTGTTGACTGTCTGGAAGTAGATGGTTTTTTTTTCTCTGTAGCTCCTGCCTTATGGAATATTCTCCCTTAGATATTAGAATGGCCCCAAGCCTGTTGGCTTTTAGGAAAGATTTAAAAATTTGGCAATGTATCCAGGCCAAGGGTTCAGAATTATTACAAGGTTGATAACTTGGTTTCACTATTAGTTCATTAATCATCACAGCTACCCTGTTTTCCTCAAAATAAGACATCCCCAGATAATAAGCCCAATCAGGCTTTTGAGCGCATGGTAATAAGGCCAAGTACTTATTTCAGGGTTCAAAAAAATATAAGACAGGTCTTATTTTTGGGGAAACATAGTATTATTTCTCCTTATTTATTTTATGGATGTTTTTAATTGTTTTAATGTTTTTTCATTGTTTTATAATTTTAAAATTGTAAGTCACCAGAATCACTTGCTTAAGTTGGGCGGCTATAGAAATTGAATAAATAAGTACCATATTTTTTGGTGTATAAGATGCACTTTCCCCCACAAAAGTGGGTGGAAATGTCTGTGCATCTTATACAGCGAATGTTGCCGAAGCCCCACCCACCCGCTGGCCTCTGTCTCCTAGCAATTTGCCTCCTTGCAGCAAACAGCAAACAGCCTGGTCAGCTTCATCACAGCCTGATTTAGCACGAGCAGCTGATTGGCAGTTGGATCGGCCTCCTGGAATACTGCCCATCAGCTGTTCCAGGCTGCGGGGGTCACCACCACCAACCGCTGCCATCACTACCCATTGCCACTGCTGCCTATTGCTGCCTCCGCATGCCCCATTTTCGGCCTCCGCGCACCCCATTTTTGGCTTCCACATACCCCATTTTTGGCCCATTCCAGGCGGCGGGCATCGCTGGCCCGCCATCTATCCATGCCGCCTGGAACAGGTCAAAAATGGGACACACAGAGGCCGAAAATGGGGTACACTGAGGCGGCGATGGGCGGTAGCGATCCCCGCAGTATGGAACAGCTGATAGGTGGTATTCCGGGAGGCAAATCCAACCGCCAATTAGCTGCTCGTGCTAAATCAGACTCTGCTGAAGCTGACCAGGCTGTTTGCTGCAAGGAGGCAAATTGCTGGGAGGCAGAGGCAAGAGGCAGATTTTTTTTTTCTTGTTTTCCTCCCCAAAAGTTAGGTGTGTCTTATAGTCCAGAGCATCTTATAGTCTGAAAAATACAGTAAGTAAATGATTATTAAATGAATAATCAAACCTGTAAACTATATTTTAACATAATCTTTCTCCCCCAAAATTCATGTCAGTTTTCTATAAAAAATCAAGGACACTTGAAGCAAAAAAAATCATCAAGTTTTAAAAATCAATTTACATTCTATAAAAGAGTCCTCTACCATTTTAAAGAGAAAAAACAAATCTCACAATGTATCTCCCACATGTTAAATATAAATCTACTTGCATAACAAAAGGACATTAGCCAGTATGCGCAATCAAAACTTCTAAGTCCAAATGGGACTCAAGAATGAAATACTTCTTTAAATAAAGAGATTGTTCTTTGATATGAGAATTTAGCTGTATAATTTCAAGGAGACATTTATATAAGATGATTAAAACATTAAACAGCTAGTATATTTGTGTGTATTGACATTGCTGCTTTTTCCCGATTTACCATTGCTCACTTTGTATAGTCAAGCCAGCAATAAATTAACAAGGAAAACTTACGGCTATGCCATTAGGCAACATATGTACCTTGAAGTAAAGAATAAGCAAGAAATAAAATCCAAATTACCTTGATATATTGCAGTGTGAAGGCCTCTGGAAAACCAATGATGGAAAGAATCTAAAAGTAACATGCAAAGTGTTTTATAGCACTACTGAGGCTGTAAATCAGGTTGGACAACTCTGTCTATACTAGTAGTAGTTTATTAATTGATTAGTATTATCAAAATATAAAACAAAAATAAAATGCAGGATCTAATTTCATGGAAAAATAGATAAAGTACAGTAATAAAATACATATGAGATAAATACAAGGAATCAACATTCAGATAACAGTTATAAAATACCTCAATCTGTTTGATATAATGGGTTCTTTGCTCAACTACCTTAACTAACGTATCAATACTGATCATGATATATAGATTAGAACCTAGGAGGAAATGGGACAATCACCAATTCAGATCCCAGTGGTGTTTTCTTTCAAATAGGAATGTTAAATGTCTAACCGTAAGAGGGGCATATAGTTAATAACAAAAAACAAACAAACATTAACAATGTCTTCAGTGAGGAGGACAACATATATACACATCCTCTCATGATATGATGGGTGGTGGAAGCGCCAGTATTTGGCCGTGGAATCCAACAACATCAGTCTGGCTCTAGAAGAGCCCCTTCTTGATAATAGTATTCATCTCTGATAGATATTTCTCAAATTGAAAAGTAGTTTTGTTCTTAGTCAACCAATTTAAAAATCAGTTTGAGCACTGATGTCTATGACTCTCTGCTTAAAAATTTCCATTGCCTGAGAGGCAATTGAGGGTAAATACTAGGTGCTGTGATACTACCACGCTATAAAATAACTTTAATAAGTCAATTTATTCAGGAATTGGGCTGACCCATACTTATTTTTCTACCAAACTTATTTTGGGGAAACTAACGGGTCCATTGAACGATTCCTTTGCCAGTATGTGAAAACTTTAATTATTAATTGACTGTATCAAACAAATATCTTTTTTGGCTCTGACTGCAGGGGCTGAAATGTTCTTTAAAGTTCCCAATATGCTTCTTTAAAAGTGTCTGAACTTTTTTCAAGTGACGTAGTTTTTATAAGGCCCAACAATGCACACCATAAGTTGACTCTTTTTGCTCTGAGTGCTTTCACTAGAGGGGACAAATTATCAGGCTAATTATAATTAAAAATGTATATAATATTTCAGTACTTGTCTTGGCCCTTCCCAAACTTCTTTTAAAATGATTTACCCATGATCCTGTGTTGATTGAAATCATTACTGAATAGGAAAAAGAATTCACTTGTTCAATAGGCTTCTCATTCTATTACGTTTCACACTTTTGTTTGCTAAGTACCATCACTTTAGATTTGGCTTTGCTGATATTTAAGAAATTAAGAGCTAAATACCTAAATAGTAGGTATTTAGCTTCAGCAGCAGTCTTCTCGGGCCTCTTTGAGAATGTGCCATCAGAACTATGTCACCAGCATAAAAAAGGATAACAATAAATTTGTTATGGATCTTTGGCATATGAATGTCTGCAGCAAACAGGAACCCTGCTATATCATTGATACCGAGATTAAAAATACTGGGGCTATGATACAGCCTTGTCTGACATCATTATGGGTAGGTATACTCTTAGTTCAGTGGTGGGTTCCTCCCAGTTCGGTCCGGTTCGGCCAAGCCGGTAGCGGTGATGATATGACATCACCAAACCGATTCTCCCCCCCTCCGCCCTCCCACCCCCCCACCCCCACACGTTATTCTTATCTTTTATTTGGTCCCACTCCCAATCTATTGCTGCCTCCTGAGTCCCAGCTGATGACTAGAAGGAAAAAAACTGTTTAAACTCTTGCCGCGGGACTCAAAGGGCCATCCTACAGCTGATCAGTGTTAAAAGCAAACAAATGAGTCGGGTCGTAAGTGCGAGGACTGGTCGTAAGTGCGAGGACCTTCCAGAAATGATTCTGACCAGCTAGCCACGTCCACCTAGTCACATGACCTCCAAGCCACACCCACAAAATAAGCCATGCCCACAGAACTGGTAGTAAAAAAATTTAGAACCCCCCCCTGTCTTAGAGAACCATTACAGCTATATGGACTTTGAAATGAATATTTGAGTAGAGGACCTTAAGAGTAAGATTCTGAAACCCAACTCAGTGTTGTTCCATATAACACATATGTAATCTAAAATACCACTAGAGTTTCCTGAATGGTATGTAAAGGATGGATCCACGGCTGTCTTTAGAAGAGCACATGACGGCTGTGGCCAGGGGGGCTTTTTATCAGGTTCGCCTGATATGCCAGTTGCGCCCCTTTCTGGATCGGGACTCCCTACGCACGGTCACTCAAGCACTCGTCACTTCCCGCCTGGACTACTGCAATGCTCTCTACATGGGGCTCCCCTTGGGGTGCACCCGGATGCTACAGTTAGTCCAGAATGCGGCCGCGCGGGGGATT